ATTATTATTAATTTAAATATTTTATTAGTTAAATATTTTTTCTATATTGTTTTATTTTATTATAAACTTAAATGATTAAGTGTTGCCACTAATAAATGATAAATAATTATATAATTATGGCTCAAACAAAAATTTACTATATATACTATTTTTGAAATAATTAAATGTGACAATATATAACTACTAAAAACTCACTATCTAAATATTTAAAAAATCATGGCCTAAACATTTAGAGCATAATAAATTTTTATTGGAAAAATTGCATAAGTCCACATTTTTATAAATGTGGTCTAAGCATATAACATGTATGACAACATTTAGAAAATCATAGCCTAAACGATTAGACAACACTTAAAGAGGTGTACTATAAAATATTGTGGTTGTTGCTTATTATATTTGGCCACATTCAAATATTCGTGGTCCTAAAAATATAGCCATGTAAAAAAAATGTGGTCTATCTCAATATTTAAGCTCACGAGGGAAAAATTGCATAGGTCCACATTTTTATAAATGTGGTCTAAGCATATAACATGTATGACAACATTTAGAAAATCATAGCCTAAACGATTAGACAACACTTAAAGAGGTGTAATGATTGAAATACCTTTTGAACGAGCTCTATTGAATTTTCAAATATGGAGAAGGTGCTTTATGGCAACCTTTCACACTACAATAATCCTCACAAAACTCAAGAAATATAATAGGAGGGAAAGAAAGAGAAATTTCGAGCTCTAAGGAGTCTTGGACGAAATTTTGTGGCCCTTGAGAGCTGTGCCCGAGTTGTCTATTTATAGACATCAAAAATTTTCCAGAACGGCCCGTTCCAAAATCGAAACGGCCTGTTCTGGATCTGACCGTTCTGTGTTAATTTCGTAATTGGAACAACCTGTTCTGAAACTAAAACGGCCCGTTCCAGAGATAAGATTAAAACATAATTGGCTAGGCTGGAACGGTCGTTCCAAACAAGGGTCTTTAGGCGTTTTTCATAACTTGGAACTGCCCGTTCCAGTTTAGGAACGACCCGTTCCAGTTAAGGTTTTAACCCTTTTTTTAGGAGCTTGGAACGACCCATTCCAATTTAGGAATAGCCCGTTCCAAACTAGGGTTTTAGGCCCTTTTAGGAACTTGGAACGGCCCGTTCCAAATTGGGAATGCCCCGTTCTGATTTTGTAACAGCCCATTCCAGGTTACTAAAACTAGCTTGTTTGGGCTTTTAGGCCTTCTAATGTCCTGTCCTGTTGTTTGCATGCTTCGGGAGCTCCTTCCCTTCATAAAAGAAGTCCATTTCCTTGTTTGTATGCCCACAGACGAAATTGGGTGTCTATAGTGGGGCTTGATTCAAGTGACACATGAAGGAACTCCTGAAGTTAGATGTGCTAGAAAGAATACTCTCATCCAAGAATATGATACTTTCAGAATGAACAAGGAGAAACCATCATGGATATCCAAAAGAGGTTTACACACATTATCAACTACATGAAAGGCTTAGGAAAGATCTTCGATGAAGAAGAAGTAAATGTCAAGGTCCTAAAGTCACTAAATATAAGATGGAAACCTACGGCGACAACAATTATTGAATCTAAGAATCTGGCTCAAATGACATGTGTTGAGTTATTTGGGAAACTTAGAGAATATGAGTGAATATGAGATGGATATGACAAGAATGGCTGAAGAAGAACAAAAGGATAAGAAACTCAAGGGTCTTGCACTAAAGCTGGAAAACTCTTCAAGTGAAGAAGAAGACAGCAGCAATGAGGAGAAATCTGAACAAAAAGAATTGAATCTAATGGTAAGGAAATTCTGGAATTTCATGAAAAGGAAGAACAACAAAAGGAACTCCTTAAAACAAAAGAAATTCTTTAGAAAAATGACAACTCCTCTCCCAAATATTCATGCTTTGAATGTGGCAAAGCTAGACACATGAAGGCTGACTGTCCCAACCTAAAGAAACAAGGACACGAGGAAAAGAAACTTAAGTTCAGATCAATGAAAAAGAAAGCTTACATAGCATGGGAGGAAAATGACTCAACAACTTCTAGTGAGATGGACAGTGAAGAAAAAGAAAATCTATGTCTCATGGCTAATCATGAAGTTGACTATGAGGTAAGTGATTTAGACTCTTCCATATACTAAAATAGTCTAAAATCCTAGTTGAGAATGGCATGTTCCCAATTCAAAATGGGTCATTCCGACCTACTAAAATGACCTAAAATCCTAGTTGAGAATGACCTATTCCCAATCTAGAATGGGTTGTTCTAGCTCACTAAAATGGCCTTGTAAGAATTAAAAAATTTCTGATCCTATCCACAGATGGTTGGCTTCCAAATTGAAAATCTCATTGGTTATGGAATGTTCGAAAAATAGACTAATCCCTAATCAATGGTTTTAGAAAAGAGTTCGAAGGAGTCGCCACCAATATTTTACTCAAAAACATTGAAAAATAGAAAAGGTTTTCAAAAATTCAATAATAGCCATAATTGGGTTCAGAGGTCGATTACATATAGGGAAGGTATTAGGCACCCTACAACGCCCTGATACAGTACCCTATGATGAAATTAACATAATAGAGGACAATATTTGGATATTTATTCTCCTTTTATTGATTATTTACATGATATATTTATTATAATTATTTATAGAAATAGGGATTTTACCCAAAAGCATTTGAAAATAAAATATTTACATGATCATTGCTTTGTGTTTATCTTTATGCATGTTTATATGTTTGTTCTTTGTGCAAGTGATTAATTTTTATCCTAGTTGACTTGAGAGTAGTATGATGATGATAAAATATAACTTGAGAAGTTTTTTGGTTGATAAAATCGAATTTTGAGATATTATTCAAAATAATCGATTATTCACTTGCAATAATAGATTATCTGCTTTATTTTTCATTAAATTGAAATACATTACTATAATAATTAATTATCTATAGAAATAATCGATTATTCTAGAAATAACTCTATGAAATAATCGATTTTCCTGAGAAATAATTGATTAAATTGTTCTTGAGTGATTTCCAGAATTACTAAGAACAAACTAATCGATTATTAAATAATCGATTATATGAGCCTGGAAACTTTATAAAAATGATTTTCTCATTCAGAAACTTATGAAAGTGATATAGAGTGAACTGTGTGAAACCAAGAAGCAAAAACACTTTGTGAAATGTTTTGAGAAACTCATCATCATCACTACAATCTTGAAGAGTAAGATAAAGATTTGTCTAATAGCTCACGTTCTGATCTGTTCAACATACAGGTGAATTCGTTCCTCATTCATTTTGGTGTAGAATGGTAAAATCTTGAGTAGGTTTCTCAAGTGTTGAAACTCTTGTAGTGGGTTGTTGCAAGAAGTGTTTTCTTGGGTGCAAGAAAGGTGGTATCTTGTATGTAGAAGTATATTGCATGTAAGGTGTGTGATTGTAAAACTTCTTACATAAAGATAGTGGACAAATCTTGATCAGGTTTTAATTAAGGACTGGATGTAGGCCATATGTAGAGTGGCTAAACCAGGATAAATCATTTTGCACTTTCTCTCATCCTTACTCATTTTAATTGTGTAATCTTTGATTAGTATCTTAACTTGGTTAAAAATGATTGCATGTGATCCATATTTTTGTATGTGTAAGGTATTAATTGAAATGTAATCCATGCATAGTTTTATGTTAAAATTCTAAAGATTAAAGAAAGTCTTAATGAACATATAAGAGCATATCCCATATATTGTGACACCCATTCTACCCCAATACATGTATAAAATAATATAAAGAAATGTTACTCCAACACAGGTAAAATGGTTCGCATCTCCAAAAGAACATATATTTCCAATATTTGATCAATTTAAAATAAAACTTAGAAAGCAAATAAGTTCGTAAATAATTTCAAAGAAAATGTAAAAACACCAATTACAATAAAAATTAAAGTTCTAGAAGATCCTTACCCTAATGTCACACTATCAAAGTACTCCCATAACTCAATTATTGGCACCTTAAATGCCACTTATGTCCATACCTGCACCTAAAAACAACCACAAACATACGGTGAAAAAAGAAGATATTTATATAGAAAGCACATCAGGAAATTTCACAAAACAATCTCAAAGCAATATAATTCGTACACACAATCCACATATGTACATATAAAAAAATTTCACATATGCATCGTGTCACACATCCAGCACTGTATGACATACACGCCCTAGTTGTCACAGCATACGCCCAACATCATGTACGCACACGACTGTGCCAATGCATTCCACTACCGACACCGACATTACGCATACGACTGAACCGACACATCACACATCTAGTATCGTATCACACATACAACCATGCCCATAACAACACATAATAACACATACAACCATGCCCATAACAACACATAAATAACATCGTATCACGTGCACACTTTTATGGCCCGGTGTCATGAATACAACTGTACCCAATCATCAAATCACATTCCACAAATAAATTCCACATTATATGCATAACCAACATTTCCACAATAAGTCATACACATATCTTACAAAACCTCCTCATACACATCAATCTTTAATTCACAATTAATTTACATTTCATCCATCACACACCATTTATACCTCTTCATACAATAGTCATTACTGGATATCATACGATTCAGAACCATCATCAAAATTCATCAATATAATACCATGTTTCAAAATCTCACATCAAAATCATTCAATCATATCATAAGTGTTATAAAGCATTACTAAGAAATCATAAATTATCACAAACATGCCAAAAAGGGGGTACCAAAACGTCAAAAATGCAAACTAAAATAGAAAACCCACGTCGGACACCGTAAATCCTGATAGTTTGACCTCTACTAACTATTTTGACCATAACTTGAGTTATACGCATCCATTTTGAGTGATTCTAAAGCCTTTATAAATATAACACCCAAATCTACAACTTTTATGAAGAACACAAAGCCTAAAAATGTCGTTAAGGTCACCTTGTATGGCTGACAACCCAAAACTTAATATTTCACGCACTAGAATGGAAACTGAAATTATAACTCGCATAACTCAATGAATTCTTAACATTTTTACATGATTATAAAGTCTAAATTATAGCCCTAGGTGTATAATTTCTAACCCAACAAACAAAAATTGATTTGTTTAATCACACAATAAGATATCACAAAAATATTAAGATACATCCATAAGTAAAATCTCTCAATTACTCATTAATTTATATAATTAAGGGTGCTCATCAATCTACAAAAATCCTAACTTACATAGCACATTACAATAAATCCAATTATCATCTAGATCATCAATTTTACCAAATAATATAACAATCCCATTTATAAATCAATATAAAATTCGATTGAATCATCAATTTTATATAATCTTAACTCAAATAGTAAAACCCCCAATTTTTTCAAAACCTAAGTCATAGGCAGTTTTCTACAATTTCATTCTCTCTCCTGGATCATCATCTTTGCTAATTGTTCACATATTCCTAATCCTCGATACATATAGAATTTAATGGAATCATCAATTCTTTAAATAGAAACAATTGTAAATTTACCAATAACCCTACGAAATTGTTCTTCTATCCATTCCCTCATGTGACTTTGCATACAAATAAATTTTTTTCCCACATACCTGGTTGTGTAAATCCAAATAACTCTTATGTAGGAGAATTTGTTCTTGATCTCTTCTTGGGTACTTCTTCTCAAAGCTATTTGTTTCTCCTTTCTTTCTTTCGTAACTCTTCATGATGCAAACGAGGTAGATAGGGTTAACTCTGGCCGACCACTTTCTTAAAATAATCCACTAGGCTGGGTCAATCCAGCCCATTTTCCTTCTCTTCCGACCTACTTATCTTTTCTCCAAAATAATTAAATAACATAAATACATATACAATATAAAATAGTTTTTCTTTATAATAATAATAATATATTTCTGACCCAAAATATAATGATATAATTTCAATATTAAAATATCCTATAAAATTAACCTTTTAGATTTTAAAATAATATATATAATTTACCAACTCCCAAATTATCCCTTAAAACACATGAATAATTATTTTAAAATTCTAATAAAAATACTTATTTAATATGTGTAAAATAATTATTTAAACATATAAAATAATATTCTCTTATAATAATAAAATAATATTGACTAAATACTATATAATAATAATTGTATTTTGAAAAATGGGATGTTACAATACTCCCCCTTTTAAGAAATTCATCCCAGAATTTCCTAAATGAAGAGGTCTAAATAAAACTCCATCTTCTCTCCAACTCCCAAGTAACACTTTTAGACATCGCTCCTCCCTAAATCATCTTAACCAAGGGAACATCCTTTCCTATCAACTGTTTCACCCTTATGTCCTTAATCCTCAAAGATGTTATGGTTCTCTCGGTTTGACCATCAATCTATGGGTGGTAAGTTGAACTCACCCTAATTTTCGTACCTAAGGTCTTATGAAGACTCTCCTAGAATCTGGAGGTAAATTTAGGGTCTCTATCTGAAACTATACTAGAGAAAATCTCATGTAACCTTACTATCTCACTGATGTACAATTGTTGATCTCTCCAAGGAATATCTAATGTTAATAAGGATAGAGTGAGAAAACTTGGTGAGTCTATCCACCATAACCCAAATAAAATCAAACTTCCTAAACGTTCTAGGCAAACTTACAACAAGGTCCATAGACACACTATACCACTTCCAAATAGGAAAATCTAAAGGTTGCAAAAGTCCTAAAGGCTTCTGATGTTCTACCTTAGACTTCTAGCATACTAAACATGAGTATACTTTTCTACATCTCTCATCATCTTTGGCCACCAGATCATTTTCCTAAGGTCTTGATACATCATAATGATTCCTGGGTGAATACTAAGAGTACTCCCATGTCCTTCTTCTAAGATCATCGTCTTAAATTCATGATTGTTGAGATTGGGGGAGATTGTTGAGATTCATGGTGGTGAATCAACTCACCTCTGGAGATTAAAGGTTTTGATGATAATAAATGTGTGGAACAAAGCTGACCAAGGACATCAACAACTTAGAAGTCAAAAACAAAGTCAAAGAAAAATGTTATGTAATAGGAGTAGCTTATAAATTGCTTTGTTAAGCTTATTTTTTGTGTGTGTACTTTGTGCATGAGCTAATCTTTGTCTAATCTAATTAGGGGAGTGTATGATGATGAGTTTAAAATGTTAAGAAGTTATTTTGAGACTTAAAACAGAGTTTTGAAAACTAACTCAAAATAATCGATTATCATTAAATATAATCGATTATTCCAGCAACAGGTAAAAATGATATCTTGATGCAATAATCGATTATTTGTGAAATAATCGATTATCCCAAAAATGACTCTCTAGAATAATCGATTATCTAGCAAAATAATCGATTAAATTGTTCTTGGTTGATTTCCAGAAATCATGAAGAACAAAATAATCGATTATTCTTTAAAATAATCGATTATCTGGTTCTGAAAAACTTATAAATAGTTTGAACATTTTGAAACTTCAGAACAAGATAGAATTGAGAATCAAAATTAGAAAAACGTGTTTGTGAAGTCTTTGTGACATTCTTGGAGAGTTTTCTTTGTGAAACCAAGAAGAAAAACGTTTTTGAAATGCTTTGAGAAAAGATCATCATCATCATCACATTCTTTAAAGGAGACAGATTAAGATTTGCTTCTGAATTCCAGGTGAATTTGTTCCTTAATTCTTTGTGAATATTTGTAAAATCTTGAGTAGGTTTCTCAAGTGGTAAGGAATTCTTGTAGTGGGTTTCTACAAGTGGTGCTTTCTTGAGGTCAAGAAAGTGGGTATCTTGAATGTAGGAGTGTATGCATGCACTAGTACATAATACACTTTTTACGTCGGTCATTTTAGGGGTTTTTACGTCAGAAAAACTTCCGACTTTGAAGCGGTAGACGTAAATTTACGTCGGGGCGCGAAAACCGACTTAAATTTACGTCGGACATGCTAAGGTCCGACTTAAAAAAGTTATAAAAAATTTAAAAAAAAATTGAGTGCAAGCAGAACGGGCTGTTCTGCTTGGAGAACGGCCCGTTCTGATTGGAGAATGGCCTGTTCTGCTTGCAGAACGGCCCGTTCTCCATGGAGCACGGGACATTCTACAAGCAGAACGGGCCGTTCTCCAATTAGAACGGGCCGTTCTCCAAGCAGAACGGCTCATTCTGTTTTATAAACCCAGGAGTGGGTTCTCCAAATCCGGACTTGGTCACTTCCTTCTCCAGCTTCAAAATCTAGAAATGCAACACAAACATTATTACGAAAAAAAACATCCCAGAAAACACAAACTTGATAGAAGATGCTACCTCATAGAAGAAAAACGCAACCCTCCGAAAAGTAGAAAAACAGAATAAGGTGCCAAGGAAGAACCATCAGCCACGATTTGAGGAGGAGGCAGGAGAAGGAAACCATGAAATTTTTGAACTAGCTAGTTCGCCCGATACACCTTCTTTTAAGCATCCTGTGGGTTATTTACGTCGGCCCTTATTGGGTCCGACGTAAATTTTAACATCTACGTCGGACACAATGCATAGCCGACATAAATAATTTAACAAAATTACAAAACGTGCCACCGCATTTTTATTACGTTGGGTCTTTGTATATCCGACGTAAAATGGGTGACGTAGTATCCTATTTTTCCACTAGTGATGTGTGGTATGCTTGTAAAACTTCTTCATTTAAGATAGTGGAACAAATCTTGATCAGGCTATGATTGAGGAAAAAAAATGTAAATTTTTTTTAATATAAATAAAACTTCAATCAAATGAAAATGATATCACTGAATAATGTGAAATTAAATAATATTTGTTTATGTATACAAGTTTATAAGGATTTCAAAGTTTTTATTTACTGAAAAATATTCAATATTTTTAGTAAAAAATCTTTTAGAAACTTTTTAAGAATGTATTCATATACACATTCAATACATATTTAAAAGTGATCGTTTAATTTAATTATGCCTGCTTTCTAAAAAGAGAAAATTATGTTGAATCCAAAAGATAGAAAGCTAGTGATAGAACGGTATTATAATGTTGAGCATAACATGCGAAGGTGTCAATCTCTGTATGACTAGACATATGGGTAATTAGATTTCAAAATAGCAGCAACCTTAATTTGGCCCAATAAGAGTAAATGTTTTTTTTACGGGTTGGTGGGTCAGCCCGACTTACCACAAGTTCAATCTGGGTAAGCCGGGTTGTTAGTGAGTCGGGTTCAAAATTGGTCCGTATTGAAATTTTTAATTTTTGGCAGATGATAAACACACCTTCACCCTCGTATAAACACACCCTCTTTTTAAAAAAATATATATAAAATGTCTAAATTACCCTTAAAAAAAATAAAATTCCTAAATTTACACCTCCCTTCCCTGCGCTCCATTCCCGCACCCCACACCCCACACCCCCTTCCCCGCACCCCCACAGCCCGAGCCGCCCAGAATAGCCACCCAAATTGCAATCTTTGTTTCTCTCTCTTCCCAGGCCTCTCTCTCTCTATCTCTCACACCAAAAATATCTATGAAAAATACATTTGCAATCCCAAACCATAGAGCATCGAGCGAGCGAGCGAATCCCATAAAAACAAGCACAGTAGCATCATCATCAATAAAGGGATGAACATGAACCAACCTCTTCCTTGGTGTTCTTGTTCTTGTTCTTCTCACTATTCCATCTCTCTCACTTTTCCCTTAAACACCCCCAAGCAATAAGTTAGAAGATAGAACCCTAGAGCGTTGAGACGACAGCACAGTAAATTTATCAGGAACAGGTAAGAAACAGTAACAGTAGAAGCATAGCAGTAGCAGTAGCATCACCATGTCCCTTGAAGAGTCGCTAAGATCTCTGCCGCTGGATTACCTGAACCTCCTCATCAACGGCCAGGCCTTCAGCGACGTCACTTTCAGCGTGGAGGGACGTCTGGTTCACGCGCACCGCTGCATACTGGCCGCGCGGAGCCTCTTCTTCAGGAAATTCTTCTGTGGGCCGGACCCACCCTCTGGCCTGGACCCCACCGGCCCAAGGATCAACTCGCGCTCCGGAGTCATACCCGTCAACTCCGTCGGCTCCGAGGTCTTCCTCCTCATGCTCCAGTTTCTCTACAGTGGCCTGGGGTGCGGGAGAACGGGGGGTGTGGGGTGCGGGAAGGAGGTGGGGAAGGTATGTAAATTTAGGAATTTTTATTTTTTTTAAGGGTAATTTAGATATTTTATATATTTTTTTTTATCAATCAAATGAAAATGATATCACTGAATAATGTGAAATTAAATAATATTTGTTTATGTATACAAGTTTATAAGGATTTCAAAGTTTTTATTTACTGAAAAATATTCAATATTTTTAGTAAAAAATCTTTTAGAAACTTTTTAAGAATGTATTCATATACACATTCAATACATATTTAAAAATTCACTAGACAAACAACTTGCTACTATTGTTGTAAGAAAGGTCACACAATAAGGAATTGCTACTCTAGGAAATATGGAGTTCCAAATAGAGAAATGTTTTGGATTAAAAAGAGCCAAAGGCTGAGAACTAACCATCAAGGACCCTTCACATGGGTACCTAAATCATTTTTCTGATCTTTGTTGTAGGAATGTTTGAGGGCCAAGAGCCTACTATGGTATCTTGATAGTGGCCGCTCAAGGCATATGACTGGAGATCCTTCAAAATTCTCAAGTCTAAAATTGAAGAATGAAGGGTATGTTACTTATGGTGACAACAACAAAGGGAGAATTCTTGGTCATGGTAATATTGGTAACTCCTCCTCCCAAACATTGATTGAAAATGTATTGCTTGTTGAAAGGCTAAAACATAATTTGCTGAGTATAAGTCAACTTAGTGATAAAGGCTTTAAAATTGAATTTGATAACACTTGTTGCTTGATATGTGATAAAAAGACAAAAGAAATCAGATTCATTGGACAAAGAATTGACAACATATACATGCTTGACTTAGAACACTCAATAGAAATTTCTAATACTAAGTGCTTAATAACCAAAGAAGATAATATTTGGATGTGGCATAGGAGAGCTGCACATATTCACATGGACCACTTAAATAAACTGAGTAGAAAGGAATTAGTGATAAGATTACCTAAACTCAAGTTTAGCAAGGAAAAACTATGTGATTAATCTGTCACTAAATGGGCCTGACTCCCGAGGCTTCCCCAGTGGAGTCGCCATCTGTCGCCACCGGCCCGAAACGGGCTTTCGGCATTCGCGAAGGATGGTTGGACTCGTTTATGTGAATGACTGTCGCCAAATTGAAATAACTTGTCCTATTGTCCCTGGAATTATACCCATTAATAATTACAAGGATTTTCTCCGCATGATTGGGTTTTGTAAAACGAAGGTAAGAAAAAAAACTGTGTCTAGTCCCAGTATTAAATATTCTAATAGTGTGTCTGGATAAAAAAAAATTTCAACATAACTGCCATTCAACTCAAAGTTTACAATATACTTGCTTCTTCATTTGCATCCTTGAAGTGTGAATGTCAGTTTTGAAGACTCCTAACGGAAATTCGAACACACTAAAATGTTTAATAATCTCAAGGACCTTGGGGGAGAGGGATTCTCAAAGGAAGCATAAAAAGTCACTTGTTAAACATTAATATATCTCTTTATACATGTATTATACCGGAAGAAAACATCAGTTGTGCCCATTGGAACTTGAGAATATTAATAAAAGTTAAAATTCAAGACGTGCATAGAAATTACATTGGTGGGCAAAACATTACTTGCAATTGGATAGATATATGCAAAATTAATAATTAACTACTAAAATATTAAGCCAACATGCATTGATGTAAAGCCTCCATTCTTGGAAATTCTTGTGTTAACTGCATCAGAAGCTCAGCCGCCTGTCATATTATTTCTGTTGCTAATCTCACTAGTCATTGCCATCTTTGAAACATTTGTTGGGTATTTCTCCTTGATAGAAAATGCTAGAATAATATATTGAAAATATTCAATAGTATATATACAGCTTATTTCTTACAATAATTTAAAGTTTCTAACTCTAAGTGGTTATTTCTTAGGATTATTTTCTCTATTTCTTGGGTTTTAATATTTGTACTGATCATATTATAATAAATCTGTCCACTAATATTGCACAGATGTCAATGTCATGGAATTTTTTCCTGCCCTTCTCAACTTTTTCTTTTTTCACAGCCAAAGTTGAATTGGTTTGCTACACTCTGTGTAGCACGGGTTCAGTACTTTAGTATTTCATGATTGATCTCCTTAGTATTAGTATTACTAAGGGATAGTGCGATATGTTTTATCATCGCATTTATTACCCGAGAGAATATTATTTGAAATATCTGTTTATTCAATTTTCTCCTTTTATACTTAAAACCTCATAATTTCAACAGCAAGTTACAAGTTATCCCATATATGTCTGGGCACGTGCATATGTGTAGATCAAATTAAAAATTTCAAATTAGCTGACTCAAATTCAACCCTGACAAATTATGGAAACGGCTCATCTATGTGTAAATTTCTTTGACATAAAAGCAAGATATTTTGATCGGTGTCGTACTCGATCAAATAAAATGTTGATTTTATAGTACTAAGAAGTGAATCCTAGATCGTCTCTCTCAAGGAGTAACAAGTCAATCAGAGGTTCTCACGATGCAAACAACACACACAAAATGGGGGGTTTTCAGATTCAAATAAAACGGAACAGTAAGCAATGAAACAGTAATTTAACACGTGAACAGCGACTCTCCAACTCAGTTGTAGCACCATATCATTGGTTCAAAATATTATCTTATCTAAACCTATATTCAAATCCCAGTAACCACTAAGCGTCATTACCATTATTGAACACATACATACGAATGAAGCATTAGCATGCATCTCTATTCACGAGATTAAGCAAACCATGAGTAAAGAAGGCAAACCAGTTAAGTTGAGAGCGAAACCATTAAACATGGAAACAAAACCAACACCAACAGATTTGTAAGGATTAGAACGTAAGAACACCTTGAATGAATAAACCTCAATGATTACATTAAACTAAGTTAAAGAGTGCTACAGATTAGCCTTCCATGGAGGAAGACAACAGAAGAAGAAGAAGAACAAGTTACAACAAAAACGAGTGTGCAATACAAAAATGGTGGTCTCCCTCAACTTGTCCAGTAGCCAAATCAAGAGAGGTGGCTGTGTGTTGTCCCCCACTAGTCCGACCTACCTAAGACCTAAAAAACGTAAATGGGCCCCCTTGTCCATGTGTATGTCCCAAAATTACAAAAATAGGATAAATAAAATGAAAATAAGATGCATGTGTGAAGTGCTGCTGACATGACACTTTGTCTCTTGAAGTCCGAAATATTCAAGCCCCAAAATACTTCACAATTAAACCCAAATCAACAATTAAAATAAGTACAAAAAGATAAATAAATAATAAAAAATAATGACTCATATTCACTTTTGGATTTGGCATATGTTTAGAAGGAGTCAACATGCTTGTTCCTTATAAATCGAAAAAAAATTTGAGCACAAATTTTGGAGTATAGAAACTGATTTAATTAGTTTTTTTTATATTTTTATTTTCCCCTCTTATATTGGCATCACATAAGTTAACTTATGAGTTATGTAAAATCTCAAAATGAGTTTTGAATTATGTTGACTATGCATTTCATGTTTATTCTCATCTTTTTTTTCTTGTACGTCTTTGATTCTATACATTTTCTCTTCTTTTTGTAAACTCTCTTTAAAACAAAGCTTCTGATTCTTTTCTATCCAATCATTTTATCACCTATTTTGCCCCTTTCACCTTTCTCAATATTAGAAAGACTAAGCTTAGATCATTGCCTACTATCATGATGTAATTGATTTCCATTTTGTAAGGCAGTTCACTGATTTGATATAAATTTCCGTATATATATGGTTAGATGCTCTTCTATTTATAATGGTGAAGCCGTGAAGGTTATCAATTGTAAAATTAATATAGCCATTCTGTGATCTCGTTATGTCATATTTCAAAGAGGTTTCTTATGTTTGTTTTCAATTGATAGAATAATGTGCAACTTGGGTGGACTAGATACTTGGATAATGACAATGGAGAAATAACATAACTGCTACATTTGAAAATATTACATCTTGTACATGCTAACAATATTCAAATTTGAAGTGAAGACCCCTTCCAGTCAGTGCTTGAAATTAGATATAAGTTCATAATGAAAGTTTTCACACAATATACTAGTCAAGTGGGCTCTAATAAAATGTTTTATTTCCATTTTTTCAATGACATAATCCACATACCAGTTGAGATTATGGCTGCTTTAGAGCCGATCAAGGACAACGAAGAAGCTGTCAACTCATATGGACTTCACCTGGGAACTATGGAGAAAAATTTTAGCTCATGGAATTAAGACTGTGCATCTATATACCCTAAATATGGAAAAATCAGCATTAGCAATACTAATGGTTGTCTCCTATTGCATGTGATATTCTGGCTTGTGATGTGTATATTTTTAATGTTATTAACAGAACCTTGGCTTAATTGAAGAGATCAAAATTTCTAGGGCCTTACCTTGGAGATGCCCTCCAAATTTCTATGCATATATATGGTTTATGTTCTAGTTCATGTATATATTATTATTAATTTAAATATTTTATTAGTTAAATATTTTTTCTATATTGTTTTATTTTATTATAAACTTAAATGATTAAGTGTTGCCACTAATAAATGATAAATAATTATATAATTATGGCTCAAACAAAAATTTACTATATATACTATTTTTGAAATAATTAAATGTGACAATATATAACTACTAAAAACTCACTATCTAAATATTTAAAAAATCATGGCCTAAACATTTAGAGCATAATAAATTTTTATTGGAAAAATTGCATAAGTCCACATTTTTATAAATGTGGTCTAAGCATATAACATGTATGACAACATTTAGAAAATCATAGCCTAAACGATTAGACAACACTTAAAGAGGTGTACTATAAAATATTGTGGTTGTTGCTTATTATATTTGGCCACATTCAAATATTCGTGGTCCTAAAAATATAGCCATGTAAAAAAAATGTGGTCTATCTCAATATTTAAGCTCACGAGTATTTTGTTTCTGTGGTTGAAAGCAAAAACCCGTTGCCTATTAGCAAATATCATAGCCACTTAAAGCGCGCTTGAAAAATCGTGGAGATTTTGTGGCTTAAACTTTAGCCCACAGTTTTTACACATCTAGCCACACTTTTTTTATCGTGGCCTAAATCCAAAAATGGTGTAGTCTAGTCGAAGCGTTATAGTCAATTGTGGTTGCTTCTTGTTCTTGTTAGAGGCTTCATACAATAACACATCTAAGGTCTAGCTAGATGACCATAGAGACCTCGTTGCATAGATTCACACCACCTCACCAAAGAAATAATATAATGAATGGACTCTATAAACAACAATACCACACTACAAAAAACACAATGGTCACCTCAATAACTTTGTCAAACCTTAGCCTAGACTTCTCCAAAAGATTCCAAGCCCTGCTTCGGTTTTATTAGAGCTATCAAAACGGGTAACCTGGCCCGACCCGACCCGTTCTACCACGGGTTGAGCATTTGGTGGGCCAACCCAACCCGGCTCATTTATTGATGAGCTCAAAAAAATTGAAACCGACCCGGCCCACCACGAGTTGGTGGATTAAATGAGTTGGCTCACCTAATTTAAAAAAAAATGTAAATTTTTTTTAATATAAATAAAACTTCAATCAAATGAAAATGATATCACTGAATAATGTGAAATTAAATAATATTTGTTTATGTATACAAGTTTATAAGGATTTCAAAGTTTTTATTTACTGAAAAATATTCAATATTTTTAGTAAAAAATCTTTTAGAAACTTTTTAAGAATGTATTCATATACACATTCAATACATATTTAAAAGTGATCGTTTAATTTAATTATGCCTGCTTTCTAAAAAGAGAAAATTATGTTGAATCCAAAAGATAGAAAGCTAGTGATAGAACGGTATTATAATGTTGAGCATAACATGCGAAGGTGTCAATCTCTGTATGACTAGACATATGGGTAATTAGATTTCAAAATAGCAGCAACCTTAATTTGGCCCAATAAGAGTAAATGTTTTTTTTACGGGTTGGTGGGTCAGCCCGACTTACCACAAGTTCAATCTGGGTACTGTTCTGTTTATTTTTTTTTAATTAGGAAGTTTTAAATTTCAATTTCAATTTGGGTTGTAATCACTTTAATTTCGGAACAATTTTATTGCTTTATGTTGTTGAACAATTTGATTTCTGTTGGAATTTGAAGTTTAATTTCTGATATATTGTGTTTGAATGATTCTGGTTTGGTTATTTGGTGGTGCAGTGTTCTGTTTTAAACATTGATATGTGGTTCTTTGATATTTGGTTGGCATATTTGATAATGATTTTGGACTCTGAATTGTGATAATGAATTGTATCTTGTGATTTTAGCTAACCAATTAATGTTTTTGTTGCTGATTTGATGCTTATGGCTTTTTTAATTTTTGGCAGATGATAAACACACCTTCACCCTCGTATAAACACACCCTCTTTTTAAAAAAATATATATAAAATGTCTAAATTACCCTTAAAAAAAATAAAATTCCTAAATTTACACCTCCCTTCCCTGCGCTCCATTCCCGCACCCCACACCCCACACCCCCTTCCCCGCACCCCCACAGCCCGAGCCGCCCAGAATAGCCACCCAAATTGCAATCTTTGTTTCTCTCTCTTCCCAGGCCTCTCTCTCTCTATCTCTCACACCAAAAATATCTATGAAAAATACATTTGCAATCCCAAACCATAGAGCATCGAGCGAGCGAGCGAATCCCATAAAAACAAGCACAGTAGCATCATCATCAATAAAGGGATGAACATGAACCAACCTCTTCCTTGGTGTTCTTGTTCTTGTTCTTCTCACTATTCCATCTCTCTCACTTTTCCCTTAAACACCCCCAAGCAATAAGTTAGAAGATAGAACCCTTCATAATGATTATCATTGTCATTTAATTAATTGGTGCTCTTAATATATTTTATTTACGTATAGTCAATCCTATTGTAAACTTGTATCAACCAGATATGTAAAGATTATAAAAGTAGTGTAAGAAATAAGTAGTTTATAAGTATATACATTATTGTAAATATTTTTGTCTAATATGTGATGCAAATATAAAGTGCTATATGTAAGCAAGTGTATAAAATTTTTCTTTTGTTTTATGTATAATAATATTAATGATATAATGTACATAATTATTATATACGAATTAATATCCACACGACTAGGCGTTACTCTTGGTGACTCGGGATAGTAAGGAAAAGTAAATATAGGATGTATGCAAATAAGTTTTATATAAATCAAAGCAATTTGTGCTAGTCAGTGAGAGCTTAGACATCATAGGGTACATGATATATAGGAATACTACTCTTAAGACAACATGGCTAATGGATTGGGATCCCAAAGAGGTAGTCCTCATAATGAGGCAAGAAGAGCAGGAGAGTATACCATTACAATAGGTGGTGGACAAATCTCTTTTCATGTAGAACAAACTATGGATGAGGGATCTAGGTTTCAAGCGATGACCAATCTATGTGTGCTCAATTTGGTATCTAGGTGGTCTTTTAAAACCTTGATGGGATATTTGTTGTAACATGTCACATAAAACATATCATGTATGCTTTATAATACATGATGTTGATATATATGGTAATGTAATTTTAGTATGAGGTTGATATTTCTCATGTCCCTCGCATGTTAAGGTATAACTAGGTTAGCTTTTCATTTGTACTCCTTTGGAAAATTTAATCTAATTAGGGATGAGTTTGTTTGCCATTTCTTTTCGATGATTTGTATATAAGTTTAGGTACTCCTTGTACTTTTTTTAATACACCATCTTTTATTGATAAAAATATCTGACATTTTGAAAAATTAATGAAACTAAAAATGTCTTTAGATAACACATAATTTAGTAGTACAATATGATTTACCTCTTGGGACATTTTTTTTATGTTACACACACACAATTGATGTCCAACCTTTATTAGATTAACACTTACTATTAATTCAAGGAACATGAAAAAGAAGTCAACTATAGTATAACACAATGGAAGAAGTAAGTAAGATTTTTTATATGCAAAATTTTATTGAGAAGAGGTTAAAAAATATTTACTTCAACTTGTTATGATTAAAACTGATAATTTTTTAAAGTGTCATAGAATCCAATTCACCCCCCCTCCTCTTGGATTGAGCCATTCTTTTCTAACAATGATTACTAGGCATATTGATTCTATCCTTGAACCTTAGAATACCATTAACTTCTTCTCTGAAAAGGCTATGGATACCCCTACCAATCCTCTCCACTTGGTTTACTAAGAAAGGATCTAACTCCTAGGCCCCTCTAACCTCATCTCTCAATTTACTAGTCACCTCCAACATATCCAATCTAATACTCCTAAGGGTAAGATCATATACCAAGTTTAAATCTCTAAACTCCTCAATCAAATCCAACTCTTTAATCCTCAAAGATGATAGATGAAAGGTCATCCTTCTCAAGGCATCTGCTACAACATTAGTTTTACTTTTATGACCCTCTCCAAAGATCAAGCGCCTAAGCATAGGCTCGCTAGGTACATATACCAAACCTCTAAATTTCGCCACTCCATCTACACCCAAATAAATTTCCCTCCACTATCTTGTTCTATAGCCTCACATTTTGCCACCAAAAATGAATCATCTAATTGTGTTTCTCCAATTTCCTTCAATAATCTACTAGTTACTCGAGTTATACCTAGTCTCACACTACTAGGGGTAACCTCATAAGCTAAACTCAAATCCCTAATTTGAGCCAAAAGATCCATCTCTCTACTCATAAGGTAAGATAAATATAGAGTTTTTCTACTCAAAGCATTGACCACCACATTGGCTTTGCCCAGATAACAATTAAGATCAAAATCCTAGTCCTTAGGAAATTCCAACTATCCCCTTTGTCTCATATTTGACTCCTCTTGATAAAAAAATATTTAAGGCTCTTATGATTGTAGACCCCTAAAATTGTCCGGGTCGGAAATAAATACCTAAAGCCTAGAACCATACAGGTAGTGTCTCCAAATCTTAGTGTAAATATTACAACTACTAACTCAAGGTCATGTGCTAGGTAATTCCTCTAATGAATTTTCAATTTCCTAGAAGCATAAGCTACTACCTTCAAGTGCTCCTCATGCTCCTCTCTAGTCTTGAAATAAACTAGTGTGTCATCTATAAAGACAACTACAAATTTATCCAATTACGGATGAAAAATATGATTCATATAATCCATAAAAATAGTTGGAGCATTCACTACAAAAAAATCAAGTTTTAGCGACCATCAAAATC